CATTTGTATTTGAACCTTCTTGTTTAGTTAATGACTTTTTAAATAAATGACAATAAAATAAATAAGTGGCTAGTACTACTGCCTTTTCAAGGTACTCAGCAGTGTCAAGTGCCCTATGCATATTCAGGGAAGTGCTCTTAAAATTGTGCTGTTTAGGTTCATAGAATTACATCCATTGGACAGAGCTAACTCCAGTTGCCTTGCTAGACTGCCTAGCTGTGGCAGACAACAGCTACACACAAAACTTACCTCTAGACTTGTTTGAATAAATCGACAGGGGGTCAATGCCTACTTCTTGTTCTTCTGGCTGCAGAGGATGTCTAGTTTCAGATAAAGAATGATACATTGTGGGAACTGGACAGTGTCACCAAAAGTAGCTACCTAGAACACAAACACAAATACAGAGAAAAATAATAACTACAGTATCTTTTTCTTCTTGCATGACTAGAAATGCAAGACTGAAATGAGTAAATGAGCATTACAGATATTAACAAGCTTTTCACAGGCTCTAGGGACTGTTACTACACCTTTTCGGGATTATGCAAAAGAGCAAAAAAAGTGGCAAAACATTTATATATCAAGAATTTATCCCGTAATCTGAACTTAATTTATAACAATATCATTGATAAATCACATTTAGCTTCAGTAAAATGTTGTAAAAAAAAAACTAAACTTCAACTTAAAAAATTATTTTTATACTAATGCTGCAGGCAGCAGAGTTAGATAAAAATATTACAGGTAGTCAGACAGGGCTAGGCTCTGGAAGGAGATAAGACAGAAGACAAGATACAAGATACAACACTGAAATGTCTTACAACTGTGGGAGGCATGGATGCTCCTGCTGTGAGCCAGACCTAAAAACCAAAGAGCAAACAAATGCTGACCTCCCTAAAGATTAGCATCCCGGATTGATCATCACCCTGAGGAAGCCAGGAAGAATCATTAAACCAACTACTATCGGATGGCTACCAGATAAGGTCCTGTTCAACATTCATGCCCACTTGCTATGTGACTCCCTTCCGCATTTGGTCCTGGATTTAATCAATTTCACCTGAGCAATGGTGCTTGTAATCCCATTGGGTGACCATAGTTTTGTCCCACCCCACATCCACCTAAGCCAGTTCCCATTTTCTCCACCTTAGCCCTGCATGGTTTTGCCCTTTGAAAGTCCCTGGAAGAGACAGCTTCCAGGGGATCACACACTCCAGGACCCCCCTCCTGTCCCTCTCTCAGACAGGAGCTTTCTTTCCCTCAATAAATATATTGTTTATAATCTCCATTTGTTCCTAAAATTCATTTTTTGGTTTTAGAGAACACAAATTCATACAGGTCAGGTTGGGAGTTTCACTTACACTACATCAGTATCATTTACTTTACTAATACATTTACAACATAAACCTCCAAAATACAGAAGTCTGTATTTAAGTTTTCATGAATACTTTCTGATTCAATACAAGAACAATGTATCTATATTATTATTTCTAACAGGTCCCTAACATTCCAATATATAGGTATCATAATATGTATACCGAATTCCTTATTGGTAAGTAATTAGAAGGATTGCAGTTATTCAACACCATAAACAGTATCTCAGTAACTATGTGTCATATCCAAGATATTTCTTAAGGTAAATTTCCATAAGTAAGCTTTACAGTTGCTAGACTAAAATGTCCATTTAAAAAATAAGATTTTGCAATGCTTTGTCAAATTATGCTCCAGAAAAATTTGAATATAATAAAACAATTCATTTTCAGGACTCTAATTACAAATGGGTATTTCTCTTCATAAACCAATGGGATAGTCAAATTGTATATTGTTTGCTTGATACTTGCTAAGACTACTAAAGAGGTCCTTACATTTCTCTGGCAACTGTCTATTGTATTCTGTGAATGAAGCTCATAATTATATGAAAGCCTTTATCATACCATGCATATGCATACAGTTTTCCCAAGTCTATCTTTTAAGTTGTGTGACATAAGCAACTTTTCATTTTTATTCACCAAAATATACCTATACATCCATTATAGGTTTTTTTCCTCTGGTGTTATACTTGCAAAAATGACCACTTACTTATATTTTATTATTTTAAGATTTCTCCCTTACTTTTTATTCCAAATCTTCTTATTCTCAATAATTCTAAAGAAAGCTAAAAAAAATTTTTTTTTGAATTTCCAAGGTATACCAACTGTTTTATGTTAAATGCTTGCCAAAGCTTTTGTGTTGAATGCTTGCTGGGGACTTTGGGGAAGGGTGGAAACTTGAGAAGATGGGGCATAGTTGTAGACACTAAAGCCACTAGGCGTGTAACCCTAAGCAGTACAGGAAACCTATCCTTTCCTCTTTGCTTCACTGGTTCCTGGCCATCATGAAGTCACAAGCTGTTCTCCAACATATGAGCCCTGCCACAAATTTCTGCTTCATCAGAGCCTTGAAAGCAACAGAGGCAATTTACTAAGGACCAAACCAACCATGGACCAAAATCTCTGAAACCAGGAACCAAAATAAATCCTTCATCCTTGAAGTTGATTTTGGTAGGTACTTTTTCACAATGATGGAAAGTTAATACACATATTAAAGCCAGGTTAATCACATAACATTCAAAAGAATATAATACAGTCTTCTAAATTTCAAAGTCTGAGAAAACATGTGAGGGATAAGAAATTAGGAAAAATAGGTGGATGAAGGAAGTTCAAAGAAAATGAGCTCTTAATTCTATAGGATACAGTCTGTATTTAAGGAAAAAAGTTTTCAGAGATGCTCATTAAACACAAATCCACACTCCCCAGTACAAACTGCTAATCTAGTCCATTCACTTTCTTATAAAATGTTCATCTTATAAAACACTAATAAATATTTCTGATTTTTTTCAAAACCTTCTAACCGCTTCATCCAACTATAATCACAGGACAATACTCTGAAGTCCTACTGCCCTGGAACTTGGCTGAATGAACAGAAACAGAAGGCAAGAGAAAAGAGAAAATTTTTGATTTGTGAACATTAAACAAGAATTCCTAGGGCCGGCCAACTAGCTCAGCAGATTAAAGTGCCTGCAAAGCAGGTGCAGGGGCAAGGGGTTTACTCCTGGGCATGCTGAGATAGCAAATGAGACTGGGCATGGTGGCACACACCTATAATCTCAGCTCTAGGGAGGCTTTAAACAGGTAGGTTACTATGAGTCCGATCCAGTACTAAGACCCTGAACACCCTATAGACCCTTCCCTAAAATACAAAAAAAAAAAAAAAAAAAAAAGAATTTTTATATCCAGATAATACCAAGTCCATACATGTAAAGTAACTGTCATTTGTTTATCAGAGCAAATCAATAAGTGCATATAGAAACAACTGTACAGAATATACGTAGAAGAGGAAAGAAAAATGTAGATGATCAATTACACCTAATACAGACTCTGTTTAATTCTATTTTTCAAATAAATGAAAAGTCTATTAAATACAGTAAGGATCTGCAAACTCAAATATTTAATGAACTAAAATTATTAATTATAGCTAACATTTATAAACAATAAGTACCAAGAAACTGAATGCTTCATTGTCAATTATCACTTCCTTCTTTCTACAACCTGATATGTCATCATCCTTATTTTCATTTTATGAAAATAAACCAAAGTCATTTATTTTCTAGAGGCTAGATTTACATAATTAGTAAGTATCAAAGCTAAACTTCAAGCATACTGTCTTCCAAAGAGTCCACATTCCTTCTCCTATAGTACATGGAGCTTTTTAGAAAGTCAGAGACAAACCAAATACTAAAAACAGAAGAGTATAACAAGACGGTGTCTATGAAGAATATGAACAACCTTTATTCTGCTTAAACTTTTTCAGTAAATTACTAATCTAGAATTTTGTGTGAAATCTCAATGTATTATGGCAAAAAATACAAATTAGCAAATACTGTACAGAACACATTTACCCATATTTCAATACTGTAAATGATCCATAAGCTATTTTAAGTAACCTTCCTATTCTCCATACATTTTGCTATATGCGTAAAACATTTTAAGGTTTTGAAAATAACTATGCCAAATTAACTGCTACATTGTCTAATCTCATAACATTAATTATTTTTATGTATTATTTCCACTATTACAGGTTTCATACACTGAAAAGGTGAAAATCAAGATTTTAGAATGCTACACTTCATAAAAAATAGACAACTAATCACAAAACTAGTATCAAAGTCAATTTTATTTTATTTTATTTTTTTATGAGCAGAATATATTTATTGAGAGAAAGAAAGCTCTTGTCCAAGAGAGGGACAGGAGGGGGGCCCGAGTGGGTAGTTCCCCCTCAAAGTCATTTTTAAAATGGACTGTTAGGCTAAGAATGGTTGTACATGCCCATAATCCCATCTACTTGGGAGGCTGAAAAGCAAGAGGATTTATCAGTTCAGCCCAGAGATCAGCTTGAGTAATATTGAGAAATTATTTGAACAAAGCAAAATGCAAAAGAACAATAAAAAAGGAGTTTATATAATTAAAATAAGATGGTCTACAATATGATGATCCTCATATTCATTTAAAATGTTAAAAGATAGTTAGAAACATTTTGCTTACTTAAAAAAATCTTCTAGGAAAGACTCAGTAAAATTAGCGTTAATTCTTTACAACTTGTCAAGATTACGGTAATAGCCAATAAGGAGAATACAAAAAAAAAAAAAAAAAAAAAAAAAAAAAAAAACAATATACAAACATTCTGTACAATATCAACTATCTCTTGTTATATCTCTAGATGGAAACTGAGTCATTGAAATGATGCTATAATTAAGCAAAGCAAAAATGCTGATCAGTAATAATGACTTTTTTTTAAAAAAAAATGTATTTAGTACAGGGTCTCACTATGTAGATCAGACTCGTAGTGATTCTCTTGTTTTCAGCCTCCCAGGAACTGGGATTATAGGCACACGCCACCATGCCCAGTCTCATTCACCTTCTCAGCAAGCACCCTGAAGAGCAGGGCCGGCATGGTGCCTATGCAGCATGGTGCTTTATTTACTTCACTGAGCTATCTGACAGACCCTGTAATGAATTATTTTGATCTGCTGAAGAAAATGTGTTGATGTTATTATTAGATTTCTTTTAATTATAGATTTAAAGAATAACCGAATTTAAAAGTAACTTATTAAGTTGCTACAATAGGGTATTATTTTTCTTTGATTTAAATATTATTTTAGTTTTTTAGAATATAAAACAATACTTAATTATATCATGTCTTGTCACTGTGGTTACCTTATAAAATCATACTGAAGCCTAGCCTGCTGATGCACGTCTGTAATGCCAGCATTTAGGAGGCTGAGGCAGGAGGATTACTGTAAACTAGAGGCTAGCTTGGGCTACATATTAAATTTGAGGCCAGCCTTTCCTACA